ATTGACAAGATCTCCAACTACATTCGGCAATGGCTACTGGTCAAAACACCAAACAAAATTCGGACTCATGATGCATGGCTGTTTGCCATGAAAATTATCCCACAGTTTACGAAAGAAAAGCAGGTGCGCATAATCAAATGGATGGCTCCTCCAACGGGCAGGCTCAAGCTTAATGTGGATGCATCATTCACTATATCTAACCAACGAGGGGCAGTCATATTGCGGGATGAGAATGGAAGATTTGTTAGGGCTGCTACTTTTAGTCTGGCATCACGCACTCCCTTTCAAGCAGAAGTTGCGGCTGGAATCGAGGCGATCAGCTGGGCACTCAAGCTACACTCCTGGCTTATCTATGAGACAGATGCCCTAGACATCATCAGGCACTTAACCACATACTCTACTCCCGATGGATCCCCGTTTGGAATCGATGTCTTACGTAAAATCATTGAAGATAATCAGATTGGCACTTCACACATTCTTCGGGAAGGCAACCGGGCTGCAGATCTCCTAGCCAAAGAGGATAAAACACAGGATGCCAAATTCATTGAATANCACACACACACACACACACACACACACACACATATATATATATTGAAAATATCATTCACTTATGTTATTTGGATTCATTGCTTTTAATATAAATCAATCCATATCTTAAAAAAATGGGAAAATTATCTCAAATAATAATTCTACCTTTTCGTTCTCTTCCATGAATAATCATACTTTTCATTGTCACGGAAAATAATCTCATTGTTTCTCATTTGTGCGAGTTTGGGATCACCGTTGGGAAGCTAACGTTCACTTAACAGAATTTTTAGAAAATGTTTATTTTTCGCAAATCAATGAAAGGTGGACTTATTTTAGGTAAATTTTCTTTTTTTTCATTTTTTAATATCTAAATTTATTTTTTTAAATTTTTTATAAATAATTCCAAATTTGAATTTTTTTTAGAGTGACACGAATTGTTTTTTTTCAATAATTGATAATATGGTAATAATTTTTATATACAAAATAATATTTCAAAAGTTGTGAAATTTCACAATAAATTATTCTAAGCAAAGCAAATTTTTGAATTTTTGAATTTATTTTATTTAAAGTTTTTTATAGAAAAAAATAAAACTTATATATTCAAAAACTATGTCAAAAGTTCTACAAAACAAGAGGTGACAAGAATATTTTATTTTATCAAATAATAATGAAAATAAAAAAATAAAAAAAGTTTTTGTGATTTTTGAATAGTGAAGTGTGATAATCTTTTTGAGACAGATGAAGTATTATTTTTTAAAAAGTGGAAGTACAAAACTAGTGAATATATTTCAATAATTCTATATAAATATTCTTTGCAAACAAACATTACATCAGTTGTGAAAATACAAAACTTGAGATATTTTCGATAATTCATTACAATTTTTTCCCCAAATTTGTGAAAATTTCATAATATATTTTTTTCAAAACAGCACTTATTATTTTTATAACTCACTACAACTTTTTTGCATTGAAATTTCTTTCTCGAGCGATACTCTAAATTATTTTTCGATATTTCCCACAGAACGAAATACAAAATTTGTAAATCGTTATAATTTTTAAAAGAAATTGAGAAAAATCCTTAACAAGAGTGTTCTATTATATTTTGAAAAAAATAAATTTAAAATTTAAAATAAAAAAACGAAAAAAATAAATATACCTAAAATAATCTCACATCTTATTTATTTGCAAAAATGGATATTTTCAAAAAATTCCGTTAAGTGGCCGTTAACTTCTTAACGGCGATCCAAAACTTGACACATGCAAAAAGATGGGATTATTTTGTACTCCCTCCGTTCCTTTAAACCCTTTCACTTTTGACTTTGGGCAAAAATAAGAAAAGTGTAATTTTGGTTGCCTTTCAAATTTTGCCCCTGATGTGATGGGAAAAAGTAAAATGTGATAGTTTGGTTATTAGTGAAAAAAGTATGATGTGATGGGTAGGGTATGAAAAAGTGGAAGTGTTTTGTGGAAAATAAAAAAACGAAAGGGAAAGGATTTTGTGGAACGGAGGGAGTATAACAATGAAGAGTTGGATTATTTTTTTAAAAATGTAAAACGATTAGATTATTTAAGACAAGTTTTCATAAAAAAATTATTCAAAACACTTACCATGCATATACGGAGTAATTAATAAAAAAGTTAAATTATTCTCGAAAAAAAGATTTAATTAAGAGATCGAGTGTGACCTGCTTTTTTTTTTTTGACAGAAGTGTGACCTGCTTTTAGTATCTTTTGACAGCCTCCATTTCCGTAGTCTATAAATATGGAAATGGGCACTCCATTTAATTCCACACATACCGAATTAGCTCCTCAAAACTAGAAACTCTCTCCTCTCTCTCTCTCACTCTCTACACTATACGGTTTGTTTTTAATTAGCAACTCTCATAGTAATATACATCAGTCTTAGAAAATGACAAGTCCAAGCATCAAAACATTATCAGTTTTTGTATTTTTCATGTGTCTGTTGCTCTCTGAGGCACGCATCGTCAGTAATAATAATAATAATAATAATAATAATCCTAAAAGTGAGGACGATGTTGTTGGAGTCAAACACGATGATGTTGACACCCAGCAGTCGTCTTTGGTTATTAGTCTCAATATCCCCTCAAAGATAGTTGGAAAATCTAATGGAAGATTCCTGCAGGTTGTGCCGGATAGAACAGCCCCCGGGGGTCCCGATGGACAGCATCATCGTAAATATATTCCTTCTTTCTTGAATACTTGTCTATTTTTTATTTTATTCCATCAAAATCGATAAATTTTAATTCCAAATTATATATTGATGGAAAAAAAACTTGATTAGGTTTGTTCAGAAACTATTTTCAAATTATTATTTTATCTACCCCTCAGTCCCTAAAAACCTTACTCTTTTCTTTTTTCATCTATCTCAAAAAACTCTTCTCATTTCTATTAAAAAGTTATTTTTATCCTTACTAATTCTTAACCTACCCAAGGATCTTTTTGGAAACTTAACACCAAAATATACTTTTCTTAAATCCATTAAAATCACAATCTCCAATATTTTTAGAGAGAGAGGGAGTACTACATATACCATACATATTTTATACTCCCTCCGTCCCTAAATAAACTTCCATTTTTGACTTTTTAAGGATTTAAGGGAGAGATATTTTTGTGTTGACTTTCCAAAAATACTCTTGATGTGATGTGTAAAAGTAAGATGTGATAGGTAGATTATTAGTAAAAAGGTATGATGTAATAGGTAGGGTATGAAAATATAAGGGATAAAAAAGGGTTTTAAGGAAAAAGAGAAGTTTATTTATGGACAAAGAAAAAACGAAAGAGAAAGTTTATTTAGGGACGGAGGGAGTATAATATAGATCAAATGCTTAAAATGATTGACTATAAAACGTAAAAACTGGACATATAATACTCTAGAATAGAGGTAGTATTATTATACAAGTATTGGATGATGTTTAGAATTGAAGTGATTAACTTATAGATAAAGTGATTTCCACAAAAGCTGAAAGCAAAAGCACTTCATAACTTCTTCTTCAAAACAGTGTTCTATGTGAAAAATAGTGGTCGAGAAAAGCGTTAGCTAACATGCCAAACATAGTGAAGCCACTACAATTCAAAGCATGAGCTAAATTCTTAAAAGCAGCGCACTGCTAAACACCCTCTGACTCTGATCCCTCCATTTAGAAACATTCACATTCGACGTTTCTTGGCCAGTGTCTGTAGACTTTGTTAGAAATTTAACGAATCGTGTAACACGCTTCCAGATCAAAATTATTTTGGAGCATATCAAAATACCTTAATCGGATAAGATGTTAATCTAGAAACGTAGTTCTTAAATACTCCGTATAAATTTTTTATAAAATGTATACTTATGTATAAATATAGATATTAATGGTCAAAGTACAATATTAGAGACCGTAAATAATTAAATGAAAAGAATATTTCCAGACGGAGCTAGAGAGTACTTTTGTCTCAGACACGTACATATGAATTTTTTTTCCAGGTAAATAAGCAAGAAATGCTCGGAACATATAATGGTGGATATATATACATATGAAGATCCAGCTCGTACGTGTGGTTGCATCTACATAGCGAGCTGAGCTAGCTGTTGTATAATAATAACGTCTATAAATAAATAAATGTGGGATTGATCGATGTACTATAAATTGTGTGAGCTGTTGTATAATTACTGTCTTGTATTGTTTCCTTTTAATTATTGTAATATAAATAAAATAAAGTCACTTTGTTCATTATTCATTTATTCTCGATTACAATTACCCAGCTGGCCAATGCATGTCCTAATAAAGCTTACCATAGAAGAAAATAAAATTACAAACTAGACTTATAAACTAAATCTAAGGCATTAATGTGACAATTTGCGTAGGTGCTCCAAATCTAAGACGCTCCATAATTGTAATAATAATAATAATAATAATAATAATAATAATAATAATAATAATAATAATTATCATCATCATCACAATAATAATAATTTTCATCTTCATCATAATCATAATAATATTAATAATATAAATAATAATAATAATAACAACAACAACAAGAATGAAAGAATATTAAAAGGAAGATACAATTCAAATTAAGAAGCACATCTTAAGATGAAGTACATATATAAATTAATTTAGTTGGCGTACATTGTAGTTAATTTTTAACAGTGCGAATAATCAATTTTAAACTTTTGTATGACGATCTTGCCAATTTCAAATTAGTTTGAGATGAAAAAAACAAATTTTATTTATAAACACATCAAAGATTTGGTTCCATAACATATCGGTACAGTACTATGTTAGTTAGGTTTTTAGCACCATCCCTATCTTTTGTTACTCGGTCCGTTCGAAAATATTATTCACATTTGACTTTTTTTGTCAAAGTTTGTAAACTTTGACTATGATGTATGGAAAAAATATATTGTATTATGATATAACTTTAATATGAATATATTCATTTTGAAATATAGTTTTCAAATATCAAATTTTTATAAAATATATCCATATATAAATAAAGATATTAGTGGTCAAAGTGTAATCTTGGAGACGATAAAAAGTCAAACCAAATTTTGAGTGGGATGCACACTTACTCCGTATTATTCAATATCTCATGGGACGGAGGGAGTGCAACCTAAATGAACATCTTCATTATACAAAGACATATCACAGAGTTTACACAAAAAACTGTTTCCGTAAGAATTGCTATTTACTTTGTCTCAACAAAAGGTTACACACGGAAATATAAAAGAGTGATATAGAGAAAAAATACTCCCTCCATCTTTAAAACACCTTCCCCTTTCTTTTTTCTTGTCCAATAAAACCCTCATCTTTTCTATTAAAAAACAACTTTTACCCCTACAACGGAGTAATTCTTAATCTACCTATCACATCATACTTTTTACTAATAATCTACCCAACATATCTTATTTTTACCCATCACATCAAGGATATTTTTGGAAGGTACAAATATAAAAATTTCTCTCCCCTAAATTTCCTAAAGGTCAAAATGGGAACATCTTTATGGGTCAGATTAAATATTATAAGGATCATAAGATGTGGAAAAACGTTATAACATACTCTCTCTGTTAGGGGAAGCACTTCTTAATTCGACCAAAAGCCAAAATAAGGAATTATTAAATTGTAGTTGATTTTTCCAAATTTGCCCTTGATTTGATAGGTAAAAATATGATATGATGGATAAATTAGTATTGAAAAGTACGATGTGATAGGTAGGGTAAGAAAAAGTATGAATAAATGTGGTTTTTAATAAAAAAGTGGAAGTGTTTTGGTGGAAGAGAAAAAATGAAAGTAGTTTTTGTACTCCCACCAAAGTATATGTACAATTTTGTCTTTTTTATAGTCAGGATTTTAAAAAGATTGACCATTAATTAAAAACAATTGATATTAGATACGGATACAAAAAATAATTTTATTATATTTATCTTCTAAAGTCTTTTCCAAATATTATTTTATATAACTGTTATATCACACTTCCTCCACCCCAAAAATTTTTTCTAGTTTTGACAAGATAGAAATTTGACCAAAACGAAACGACAACAATTGAAAAAAGTCGTGATCGGAAATGTCAAAAATAAATAAGTGTCTAGGATGGAGGAAATATTTAAATTTGATATTGTAGCACAATTTATCCATTTTGCGAAGTACTGAGTATTATTTATTAGAGCAGGATTCTATTAACCGAAGAAAAAAGATCTTAGAATGACTTGAATATTTTCGGGCACTAAAGGAGGTGATGCTGGTAAATTTGATATTCCCACACCCCTAAACCCCTTCTACACCCCACCCTAGCCCCCAGTCCCATCTCCCCATTACCCCAGCCCTATCCTTACCTCTGTATATATTGCCAGAGGAGGGAGGGGAGGGGTGGGGGGCCAGGACGGAGGGTTTAGGAAGGTGTTAGGCGTATAAGAACAATTAATTTTATCATCAGAGCATTATATGTGTCCAAGTCATCTAGGGATCATTTTTCTAAAGTAAACCGAATCGTGGTGTATTTATTATATCTTCTGTCCCAATTTTGATTAAAAATTGAGAGCTACAAGATAAATTCCTACGTTTTTAAATCAATTTATTTTCAAATAATGTGTATATCATTAAAAATGAAACTTACATATTAAAAAATAGTCAAATATTCTATAAAACAAGAAGTGACAAGAGTATTATACTTTATCAAATAATCAATAAAGATATACAAATAAAAAAAATAACGAGAGGTAAAACAAATATTGTAATCAATTTTAGAGTTTTAGGGGATAAGAGTGTATGACTTTTATTGCTAAGGTGACGCAATCACGGACGCAAGTCATGCTAACGTTGAGAACTAAAAAAACACTGTACTACGTACGTACTAAAAATATGCAGTGCTCTCTTGTCACATTTATAAAAAAAACATCGTATATTTATAGTAAATGAACCTAATTGGTAAGCCAGTTGGCATGACGCAGCTGAAAAAGATTGAGAGTTTCAAGTGAGCAAGGCTTGAATATGATTCTTGACAACTGCGCTCGAAGGTAATATACTATCAAAGAAATTTCTATTTTCTCTTAAAAAATATCTCTTCCTTAAATATCTCTCCCTTAAATCATCAAAAAGTCAAAAAGAAAAGTTTATTTAGGGACGGAGGGAGTATCAATTCATCTAATTTTGTAAAGTAATCATTATATCTTTATCTTTATATATTAAATTTGAGAGTTAAACTCCTAAAATTGCGACATGTGGCGAGTCTACATGACAACATTTTAACAAATCACCTGCCACCTATTAACGATTTGAATGACGTCCTATTAACGATTTGAATGACGTGGTAATTTTAATCAAAATACGGGTAGATCCAATTTAAGTTGTATACGGAGTATATGTGTTATGTGCAAAGTCACGTTATAATTTTTTGGAAAAATACTCGGTACAACAATAAAAATAAAACATGGAAAAAGTATCAAAATAAAAATACATACTCCCTCCGTCCCAAAAAAATTTACACGTTTCAAAAAAATTGCGTCCCACAATCTCCTACCCATTTCTATAAAAAAAACCACTTTTACCCTTACTTTTTCAAATCCTACCTATCACATCATATCTTTTTTCAAATAATCTACACATCACATCCTACTTTTACCCATCACATCAAGGGTATTTTTGGAAAGTCAACACAAAATTATCCCTCCCTTTATTTTAACTTTAGTCAAAACGTGTAAATCTTTTTGGGACGGAGGTAGTATTTTTTTATATCTCCAAAAGAGGAGCTACCAAACATGAAGAGATTCTTTAGTTTCAAAAAGAAGTTATTCGTAATTCATTTCTATCGAAAGACAATATTTGTTCTATATATTAAGGTTAAAATATACAAAATTGACCAAGAAAAGTCAAATGAGAAGATTAAATCCAAAGACAGAGGGAGTATTATGGAAAAAATTAGAACCTTCATGAAATTTTATGCAATTGAGTGAAAAAACTAAAATTCATATTTTGATTAAAAATTTTATAAAATCAACTTCTAAAATAATTAAAATCGTAGTATAAAATTTAAAATCAACTTCAAAAATAATTAGTGAAATTTAAAATTTATTTTTCCAACTTATTTATAATCAAAATAATACTCTTTTTCTTAAAATTTCAAATTCAAATTTGTGACTAACAAAATATTTTTTTGAGTCTAACAAAACAGTTCAAGATGAAGAAAGAATTCAAAGTGAAAACATTAATACAAGGTAGATTTTTTCATGGGTCTCATATGGTTTATCTTAACAATCAGTAACTCCATTTGTTAACCTTCCATTTCATTTTTTGAGTAAAATGTTTAACCCATGAGATTTCTTAATCATAGAGATTTAATATCACTAATTTAAAATTTTATTTTTTAACAATGCAAGAAAGAATAATAATTTTTACAATCATTGCGGGAGGGGGGAGTTGGAATTATGGATGAGAAGAATCCTATTTTTCAATCATATAATTATAAGGTCGGTATTTTAGGCTTTTTAAATCAATGTAAGGGAAAAGAATCATTGGATCACTAATATTTTTTGTATTAACATATTTTTTAAATTCATACCAAGAGAAAAATTATAGATTTCTAGAAGTACATCAAACCTATATCATTTATATTTGACGTTTAAATCATATGCTCCATAAAAATCAAGTCATTTGAAAAATCTAAATTGTAGAATATAAAAAAATTCGTTCGGACTCGTGCGTGGAACGGGTAGAAATACTAGTTTTTTAATATAAAATTTGAGAGTTTGATCACCGCCTTTAATTCTACGTACGGTCTCAAGCACATTACAATAAGTGTTAATTCTTCCATCTTTAGGCTGTGCTCTATCACCTTTCTTCATAAATTTACGTGATACCTGCATATTAAAAGGTTGTTTAAAACAAAAATAAGTCACAATGCAATCACTGACAACAAGACCATAGGTCTACAGGAAAAACGCAGTTCAACAACAAAACTAGGTCACAATGCAATCCCTCACAACAAGACCATTGGTCTACTAGAAAAACACAATTGAACAACGAAAATAAGTCACAATGCAATCCCTCACAACATGACCATGTATCTACTAGAAAAACTCAATTGAACAACGAAAATAAGTCACAATGCAATCCCTCACAACATCACCATGCATAAACTGGAAAAACTCATTTGAACAACAAAACTAGGTCACAATGCAATCCCTCACAACAAGAACATGCATGTACGGGAAAAACTCATTCGAACAACAAAAATTAATAACAATGCAATCCCTCACAACAAGACCATGCATGTACTGGAAAAACTCAATTGAACAACAAAACTAGGTCACAATGCAATTGTCAGAGGTCGGAAACTAAGATTCAGTACCTTCGGTCGCTTTGCCATTTGCTTTGTCGCAGGTCGCTTATCTTCATCAGCAATTTCATCCGATCGAGTGTCCACTTCGTCCGTCATCTTCTCCGATTAAGATACAATGCGAAGTAGAAGAATTGGGAAGTAGGTGAATTGGGAAGCAAATGAATTGTGAAGCAGCGGAATTGTGAATTTATCTGGTTTTTCGATTGTGAATTGTGAATTGGCGCTCTGATCGAAGAAGAACTAATGATGGCTAACGGGTAATTCGATTGGCTTTGACGGCTATTGGTAACGGAGACAGGTTATGATGGCTGACGGCGACTCCTATTGGTGGGATTTAATCTTCTCACTCCTATTTTGAGCTTTTATCATTGTTTTACTCCTATTTGGCTCCTTAACCCAGATGTCAATGGTTGGGGCATAATGGTCATTCGGTAAAGTAATACGGACTACTAGGTTGCATCAGGAATGATTACTATTACTATCCATACTTTATTTAAAAAGCCATTGATTCTCAATTTGGTTTTCCTACCCATTTGGTGTTCTAATAAAAATGGTAATTTTTCACTCCATATGGTAATTACTCAATTAAAATGGAGTTACACAGGTCATTAATGGAGTTACTAGAATTGAGTAATTACTCAATTAAAAAGGTAAGTAGTTTAAAGTAATAATAAAATATTCAAACATAATTACACTTACTGTTAATAAATCAATCCTTTTTAACCAATTTATACGAATGGTAATAATTGTATTTAATTATATTTACTAATATATATGTAATAATATCTAATAACTTATTAAATTTAAAAATGGTAATATACACACTTATTTTAAACGGTTAAATTAATATAAACGTGTATTTTGGTAATAAAGTATTCACACACGCCATGTTAAATAAAAAATTAAGTACGTATATCACAAAAGGCAATTAAAAATCTAATTACCATAATAAAGTAAGGCTAATATATATATATATATATATATATATATATATATATATATATATATATATTATTTTGGTATTATGTTAATTTATACAAATGGTAATTGTATTTAATTATATTGACTACTTTATATGTAATAATATCTAATAAATTATTACATTCAAAAATGGTAATATATACATGTGTTTTGAATGATAAAATTCATATAAAGTATTAAGTACGTATATTTAATATAAAAGATTAAGTATGTATATATAAAAGATAATTAAAAAACTAATTACCATAATAAAGAAACGCTAATACATGTAATTTTATGGTAACAGAATCGTGTTTTGGTAATATAAACATGTGTTTTGGTAATAAACTATTAAAAACGTATATAAAAAAAGGTAACTAAAAATCTAATTACAATAATAAAGAAAGGCCAATAAAATGGTAATTAGTTTGGTAATATAGTATCAGTAATTAAGTACGTATATAAAAAAAATAATTAAAAATCTAATTACCATAATAAAGAAACGCTAATAAAATAGATATATTATTATGTTATCCTTTAATATAACCGTGTATTTTGAAATTGTAATAAAAAATAGGAAATTACGTATAGAGTAATGTACATTTTTAACACGTATACAAAAATGGTAATTAAAAAAATAACGTTAAAATGGCCAACCTATGGGAAACAAATAAAATGGTAAGTAATTTAAAGTAATAATAATTCTTTTGCACGGGTCATTAATGTTACACGGTTTTGACTCATTCCCATTTATGGAAAACTTTCCAAACGTGAATATAAAAATATAATAATAATACTAACGTAATTAATTTATATTGGAAATTATTAAAAAGGTAAGTAATTTAAATTGGTAATTAATTATTACAAATGAATAATAAAGGAACAACGAAATTCATATAGTATAAATACGCTACCTTACCGGGTAAGCAAGATAATCAACGAGTGTTTAAATTAAATGAGTGTTTTAATTGATCGGTGCTCCACCATCGTTTTTGTACGAACATGGGGATGATTACCGCCTTAAAAATGTTGACGAAAGTTCCGGATTATTGATGATGAAGCTAAGAGCGGTTAGAGTTTACCACGTTCATGCTCATTCTCGAGGGCCGGAATCATTGGATATTGTTTTCCACAACTCATCAGAGGTTAGTTTTACATTATTTTATATTTTACATATAATAAATCTTTAAACAAAAAATATAAATTTAATTATAGATTAACATTTTATATTTGTTGTTAGGGCGATCGGATCCATTGTCAGATCAAAGATACTAATATATGCACATTCAAAGAAGATTTGCAAGAAAATGCGGTTTACTTAGTCATGAGTGTCAAGGTTATACGTAATTTCCAAGGAACAAAATCTACCAATCACCCTTGCATGCTTCAATTTTTTGGAAGGACCAAGATTCAAAAACTATCGGAAAATGGATTTCCTAATTTTTTATTCAACTTTAAGAGTTTTGAAGATGTACTCAAAACAAAGTTTGATGACCAAGTCTTTTTATTTGGTAAGAGTCATTTACATTTACATAACTTAAATACTTACACATATGAAATACATTTCATATATTATGATTATGAAATTTATAAAATTGTATTTTTCTGGATTTTCAGATATAATCGGGAAAGTAGTTAGTCGAACCGCGCCTGAAATAAAGGATTGTTATTAATTGCCTCAATTGTTATAGAAAGAAAAAATTTTCATGTTTTAAATCACTAGACGCATTTTGAAAATAAGGATAAGTATATTGAGCATAATGTATACTTTACATAACTATGCATTATGAAATATATTTTTAAAGTATCTATTACAAAAATATTTATTATTTATTTAATTTCTTCATATATTAAATTTAAAAATAATTTTAACTTTTTTTTGTAGTGGCTTCGGTTGAATTGTCCGATACAAGAATTTCCTTCAAGTTTCAAAGAAGACAATTCCCTGTGGTTACTTCGTACGCAATGACGATTAACAAGAGCCAGAGACAATCTCTGAAACATGTTGGACTACTGTTACGGAAACCTGTGTTTAGTCATGGACTGCTCTATGTTGCAGTTTCAAGAGTAACTAATCGTAGTGGATTGAAGATTCTGATATGCAATGAAGACAATACTCCCACAAAGACTACAAATAATGTAGTCTATAAAGAGGTCTTTCGAAATTTGTAAAACATTGATGTTATGTACCTTAAAATAATATAATCTCTATATTCTATTGCATCTCATTTTTTATCATTGAAATATGATCTGAATTTAATAACATAAAAATGAACCGTGCAACGCACGAGTGTGATACTAATTATACCATAAAAATATTATCGACCATGCTAGACTTACACCAAAATTTGTACTCCATTTGTACACCGCAGTTATGCACACACATTTTGATGGTTTACATCGACACAAGTGTTGGTGCGTTAACAAAAATTTACACGGACACAAAGTGTTGGTGCGTTAATAAAAATTAGTTTTACACCGACACAAAATGTCGATGCAAACCTGCGGTGTACAAATGGGATACAAAAATTTGGGGTACAAGTAACTTTATCCAAATATTATTTCTCTTTCATTTGGAGTGGACCTTTGACCCTCCACCATTAATGTACTCAGATTTGAAGTAATATATTTCTCATTCGGTTTCAAAAAAGGAAAATAAAAGGTTACACATTTGACTTGACATGAAGATTAAATAAAATTATGTACTTAAAGTGTTGTAGACAAAAAGCTACTAAAAGGATCATAAAATGTGGAATAACATTATAAAATATAAAATATTTCATCAAAAAATTGAAATTAAAAAATTGAAAGATAAAAGTGGTGAATTAATATATTTCAAATTAAAAAACATAGGAATTAAAAAATTGAAAATAAATAAGGAAAAAAATGTAAATTTATAGAGTTGAAAATAAGTTTTAAGAAATTAAAATTGAATTAAAAAAATTGGGAAATGCTTGGTTCACAAACAGAATGGTCATAAAATTCACTACTATTTGTGAACTCCAACAAAAAAAATTAAATAGTCTAAAATAATTTTAAAATGAAAATTTAAACCATAAATAGTAAGTTTGTAAATTTACTCACCCGCTAGGCAGCGCGATGAGGCGCTGCAGTATAATGGTGCCTGCCGCTCACCCTCGTCCACGCCGCATGCCCACTCTGACCCCTGCATCCGGTCGACACCTTGGCAAAGGATGTTCCACGACCAGCTGCAATGGTATTTGCCGCGCTTGCCCAGCCTCTCCAAACAGCACCACGGAAGCCCCCCTCTCCCATTGTAAATACCAAATGCTCTTATTAAAAGATAGGGGCATGCTAAGGATACACCAAAATGGGATATCTCATTTGTACACCAAGCAAATACAGACAAACACATACACTTATTATATATTTGTAATCCACATACACTAAATGTATGTATTTGTCTGTGTTTTCCTAGTGTATACAAATGGGGTATTCCATTTTGGTGTACCCATAGGTTTATTATAAAAAATACTCCCTCCGTTCTCAAAAAAAGTTCATACTTTGAAAAAGTGGAAAAATAAAGAAGTGTTAAATTGTAGTTGACTTCCAATTTCGCCCTTGATGTGATGGGTAAAAGTAAGATGTGATGGATAGATTATTAGAGAAAAAGTATGATGTGATAGGTAGGGTATGAAAAAGTAAGGGTAAAAGTGGTTTTTTAATAGAAAGTGGAAGTATTTTGTTGGAAGTGAAAAAAATGAAAGAAGAATTGTTTTTGGGAATGGAGGGATTATGTCATTTAGTCTTTTGAATTGGCCTCCCCCTCCCATATGTACTATTTTGTCTTTTTTTATAGAGAGGATAGAAAAGAATTTGACCATTAATGATTGAATAGAATTCATATTAGGTATTAATACAAAAATAATTTTATTAAATTTATATTATAAAATATTTTAAAAATATTTTTTTATCAAACTGTTATATCATATAAATTTTATTTAAATATAGGTCAAATATTGACCTTCATTGACGGTATAAACTCAAAATTAAATAAATATCGATCTTGGACGGAGAAAATATTTAAGATTGATATAGTAGTGCAATTTTTTTATTTCGTAAAGTACGAGCATTATTTAATTTATTAGGGTAAGGTTCTATTAATTAAGGTTCTTCTTGGGTATTTATTAAGGTTCTATTAACCGTAAGTGCTGCTTGTAAAATTCATATTCCCCCTGATGGTGTAAATTACTTGACCGGTCAAACTATACTAGACCGGGTCTAGAATAGTTTTGCTTGATTTGGCAAAGTAAGAAAGGTAAAAACACGCAGATTGACCGGTAGGACTTTAGGTGGGAACACCTGTAGCCCAATTTATATTATAACGGAGAATGCACGGGTGCTTTTACAAGGGAGTTTAGAGAGAGTGAATTCGGATCCCTCTTTCTGAGGTTTACATGAGTATTTATACTAGGCTAAGGGGACAGGACCACGTACGCCCACGTGGGGGCATGCTGCCGATGTGGTGCGAGGTGACTGGTTTCGTCCTCAAGCTGCCTTGTCGCCTTGTGAAGGGGATCATTCCCTTTGTCAAGTAGTGCCTTGGATGGATTCTTCAGCATCTCCAGTTGTCCTCTACTGACACGGGTCGCTACACGCCAAGCCCTCGTAGATTCTCCTCTGCCGACACTTTCCAACCTCAGAAACTACACC